GACTAAGCTTACAAAAGCTAAAAAAATAAAATTTAAAAATTAATAAACTCTTAACAAAACAAAAAAAAAATATTCATAGAGTAATTGAGAATAAATGAGGTTTCAAGTACCAGAGATAACAAAATAGAGAAATATAAAAATTGTGAACTTGACTAAGAGGAGAAAAAAATTTTTGCAGAAGTTGTTGAATAAAAAAAAGAGTATAGAGCTTTATATCAAAATTTGTTAATAAACAAAAAGAAAAAATCTTCAGGATTAATTAAAAAATAATATAAATATCACAAAGATTTTTAAGCTAAAGATTTCTTCAAATAAAAGAATTCTACAAGAAATCTAAGTTTATAATTTGGATATTGAAATAATCAAAAACCAATATATTAGCCTAACTATATAAAGTTATTTAATAGAAAAAATTAGAAACTAAAAAAAATTTTAATTTAGTTTATCTTCTATATTGACAGACCTTTACAAAACAACAAGTTAACAAACTATTTAAAACTAGACAAGATAGGGCAAGTTGGGTATTAGTTGATAAAAAAAAAAAGAAATAGTTGTTAAAGAGTATCTTAAAGCAAAAAACCAGTTTTCTTTAATAAAAATAGAACTGCTTAGAATTTAGTATGTATTTCTTATTACACTTAGTAAAAAAAAAACTAAGATATATAGAATAATATAGTAGTAATAACAAGATTAAAAGGAAAGAAATAGTTCAAATTAGCAAAAAGTAGATTTAAAGAAGAGAATTTTAACTTGATAAGGTATATATTAAATATAGTAAAAATAAAGAAATATAGTTAGAATTAGCAAAGATTAAAGGTTAGATCAAACAAAATTTTTATATTAGTTTTTATAATCCAGCCAGATTATAAAATTTAGATTATAGTGTGGTGACTTAGTGAAGTAGTTAAGTTATCGTATCTCCAAGCAATATGTTGGCTAAGTAGAGGGTTTGAAACCCACTAGCAACAAATTTCAAAAATTCTATCTGTACGATAGCTACTGTTGTTCTGTTGATTGGTTAAAATATCTCTGTAATCTTGGTAATACTAACAAAGATTGGAAGATCATAGAGTATTTGTGTAATATACAAGTTATACAAATAAGCTTTCAGATTGTAGTAAACCTAGTAAACCAGGAAAGATAATAGATGCTCGCTTGGCAAGACCCAAGTAGAGAAATAGCATAGATCTTTGAAGGTACTACCGAAAGATCGTTATTGAGAGAACTGGCAAAACTAAACAGGACCAAAGTGTTTGGCAAGGCACTCTACCAACCAGGTCGCTGAAGAAGTAACCAGAGAAAAAGAATCTAATCGTAGAGACCAGAAGCAGGTCACAGCCCTTCTGGGCCATCTAGATTGGTAGTTTGGGATTATTAGAATTAAAACTAGTAATAGTCTGTAAAGTGTATACTGGGGTCTAGATGAACTCTGCAAGGGCAGAAGTAGGTAATAGTAGCAGCTTCGGCTCACAGTTGCTGTCTTCAGACTCGGTGTAAGTTACTAAAGTCTAGGTTAGCCAGATTGTAGGTATAGAAAGCTCTAGCAAGTTTACCTTGAGGGTAAATTAGCCCTAGATCAGGCACTTCCTATAGCAGGTATTGGTTCTTTATAAAGATATAGCAGCACAGAGGGTTTAAATAAATAATTTTCTAGTTGGATTATAGATATGGCATCTAGTGTAAAATTTTCAGGCAGACTACTTAAATAAGCAATTAAAAATTGTACGTGTGGCTAGTTGTACTCTCTAAAACTATGTACCAAATGAGTAGCAGTTGACTTCGATTATCTTAGCACATAAACTAATAAAAGCAACCAACTATGAGATCACTTTGATATTAAAAAAAAAATAAAATAAAATTTAGATTATAAAATTTAAATTTTATAAATTTTATAATAAAAAATATCTGCTAGGTTACAAAAATTAGATTATAAATTTTAAATTTTATAAATTTTATAATAAAAAATATCTGCTGAGTCACAAAAATTAGATTATAAATTTTAAATTTTATAAATTTTATAATAAAAAATATCTGCTGATTATAAAAAATTTAAAAATTTAAAAATTTATAAATAAATAAATATCTATATACTGGATTAAAAATCAAAAAATATATCAGCAAACTATAGAATTTCATATATCACAGATTTTTATATTGTACAAAGATCAGTTAATAGTTAACAGATTAGAGGTGCAGATGAATTGTTTCTATAAATAGTCACAATATATGCTTTAGCTGCTTTAGCTAGTTATAGCATAAGCTATAATATCTGGTACTTTAATTTCTTCCACCACTTCACTATTGAAGAACTATAAAATTGATTAATAACACAAATACTATGATATGTGAATAATTAGTAGAACCAATCCAGAAGTGGTGAAAAAAACTAGTAAATTCATAACATCATTGTATGATTCTTTTGTACCTCTACAACAATCGAAAAGATGATTAAATAGTGATATAAATGCTCCTTTAAATATATAGATCATATGATCAACTAAGCTATTGATAATGCAAATTTCAAAGCAATATAAAGAAAGTCAGAATCAAAATATAGAACAATTTAATATTTATTGTATGACTTCAATTGATTTTGTATTTGGTACTTATAAGATAATTATTGTCTTCCAAACAAGATTGGTCTAAATAATAGTATATAATAAGCAAATTAGGCAACAAGAATTGAATTGTCAAGCTTCTATTTGCAGCCCTGTCTTACCCTTCTACAATGATATCAATAACACAATACATACTCTATAATAATAGCATGGTAATTACCTTAAAACTTTCACAAGTTGTTTATTAATATCTAAGAATAAGACTATATCTTAATTTTTTTATTAATATGCAAGTTTTGGGATTTGTTTTGTAAAATATCTTAAATTTTTTTAATCTGAATGAAAAAAAATATCTTAAATATACAAGTTCAAATTTTACTTAAAGTCTTGCAAAAATAAAATCAGAATCAAAACAGATGTCAAACAAGTAATTAGAGCTATTATTATATTATGAGCCTATATATAATCACAAGTTTATATAATTTCTAATTGACTTTATGTATTGGGAAATTATTAGAGTATGAATTGAAAGTATTAGGTTCTAACTAAGAAAAGAAATAATAGTTGAACTTAAACTCTGATTGATATTTTTATTGCAATAGTGAAATGTAATACTTTTATATTTTTGCACTATTATAGTAGTATATATATTATGAATATATTAATATATGCACTAAAGTTTACTCAATATATGCCACATATTTACTAATTTACTATATTTGATATTTCCACTATATATACATATATATTTACTATATCACGCTAGCAATAATCTATCAATATTCTAACCAAAATTATGAATAATACTTTATAAATTTAAAAAAAGCTATGAATAACTTAAAGTAGTTTTAAGATTTCATCTGCTTAAAAATCTCTAAAATATTTAAATCAAAAATAATATTTTGTAGTATCTTTATTTTCAAATATTATATATTTAAAAGCCTATATGATATTATATATTGTTTACATGTATTGTATAAAGAATTTAATATTGATAAAGATTTTTTAATGTATCAATACTCTGATACTTCGAAAATAGATTTTTTTATTTAGAAATAAGTAAAAGCAATATAAGTATTATCAGATCTAATGATTAATAGTTTAGAATAATCACTTTTCATTAATTTAAAAATAGCATAAAAACTTTGGCTTTGATTATCAGAATCTCTTATATCTAGTTTATATAATAGTTATAGTATGAAAGACTAATATTATCAATTGAGCAATATTTTTGCATTACAGAAAGATTTTTTAGAGTTAACCTTTTTGAATGATTTCTAACTATTACATTTAGTTAAATCATTCATATTAGCACAGTTTTGGCATATTGGAAGCATATTTTTTGATATAGACTGTTTGATATCATAACTACTATACAAATAGCAAATAGAGAGATAGATTTTGGCTGAATAATATAGTTTCTCTATTGGCAAAGCATATGTTTAGAAATCGTTAATGAAAACAATTTTAAAAATTTCTTGAATTGAATCATCGATCACATCTTTTTCATTTTTTTCATTAAGCTCATTATAATAAGCACTACCTGGTTTACTATTTTCTTCTTGATTGCTTTGTTCACTTTGCTCGCTATAACTACTTTTATTATTTTTAATATTATTGATATCTTGCTCCAAATATAAATAACTAGAACTTGAAACTGATTCTACCTTATAGTTATTACAGCCAAGTTTGTCAAGAAACTTATTTGTTTTATAGTGTTGTTTAGATAGTACTGCAGATGCAATAAATGATAGCTTACAAATATTACTAAATATTGTTCTGCATGTATATATAGAATAGTATCTAAAAATTGCTCAAGTATCTTGTAAATTTTATCTAATAACTTGTTTGTACTAAACAAGAGCTGTGACTTATCATATTCTATACAAGTAATGGTGAGCCCAACATTTTTAGCTCACACTAAGAAGAGACAGAAGGGTATTGTATAATATAATTTTTCTTTTTTTGGTTATCTTTTTTATAATGCTTTGTTCGAGTATTCTTGTTTTTATAATGGTCTATATTTTTCTGTTGTCATACTGCTATAGAGCTTGTCAAAAGACTTGTAATAAAGATTTTCCTCAGAAACTAGATCAGAAAGATAAAAAAGTTGAGAAAATATTTTAGGTGAACTTTGAGATAGTGAGCAAATTAAGCAGTTTATTTTACTACACTTCTTAATAGTAAAGAAATAATACTTTGTTATATAGCAATGATTATAAAATTCTTTTAAATGTAGTTTTAAAAAAGAGAATAGTTATTTTATGTTTGCTTGAATCTATATATTTATTATATATATTTACTTATTTTATTTTTTATATATTTTATTTTATAGTCATCTTGTGTTATAGAACTATTGGCTAAACAAATATTTTCTTAGAATTCTTTAATTTCATTATTCGTTGTGGTATCAAATATTTTGAATAAATCTTCTTTTAAAGATTATTGTTTTTTTTTTTTTTTTTTTTTGGTATTAAGGTGACCCCTTCAGTCAAGTACTTTTATTATTGTATGGACTATTTTTACAACTAGATGATCTACATCTGTCATACATATATTTCTATATACATAATCTCACTACAATACCATTT